TCTCTGATCTCTCGACGAATTGAAAGTACATATTGCCTGAGATCTCATTATGTTGTTTTATTAAATGTGCCAAGTGCTAGGACTGTCTTAGGGAAGAAAGCTTTTAGTTGTGCAGCTCCACTAAATTGGAACAGTCTGCAAACATGTTTAAAACTGAGCACTTTGGTTCCCCTGCATCATTTTAAAACTCAGCTGGGTGACATGCTGTTTGATACTCATGGTACCTGTCTCTGTAAATAGAGTTTGTAAACTGTACCCTGTACATTATGTTGTATGTCATCCTTATTGTTGTTCTGTTGTTTTTATGTTACATGTGTAACTAATGTCCTGCAGGTCACCCTTGAAAAAGAGATCTTTTGATCTCAAGGGGCTTCACCTGGTTAAATAAAGGCTACAAACAAACAAGAATGCGGAAATCAATAGCAAAATCAGCAACAGAGCCTGAACCCTGGTGGAGTGAAAGGAGTCTTTTACCAGCCTCCTTCCCCCTCACTGGATGATCAAACACTCTACGCATCTCTGCAGTAAAAGACGACAGAGACTGACTAATAGGCGAGTTGCTGTTAGATATGGCAAGGGCCCATGCTGCTGCTTTATCACTCAGTAGGCTCATGTTGAAAGCAACCCTAGTTCTGTCAGTGGAATAAGTGAAAGGCTGTTGCTCAAACACAAGACTACACTGGTGTAAGAACTGACTACAAGACCCTAAATCTCCTGAATACCTGACGGGTGTGGGGATAAAGGGCTCACGAGGATTTCCGGGCTGTCGTTCCGGATCAGCCTGAGGTGGAGGAGCAGGGTCTGTAGCTTGAGCATCGGCAGTCAGCGGGAGTGTGGAGAGATGTGCTGCGACCTGTTCCATACGGCCTCCGATGTTGGTCACACTGGCGGTTAAATCCCGAATCGCTTCCATAACTTTCTGCAGAGCTCTGTCATGTTGCCCTATCATTACCCCTTGAGCAGCAAGCGCTTCCCTGAGTCTCTCATTCTCTGCGGGGTCCATTTTGGCCAGAGTATTCTGTGACGTTTAGATACTACTGGGACCCCAAAGCAGAGACTGACAAAAATAAAGTTTCAATGAGTTTAATAAACAAAGGTAGTCCAAGGCAGGTACTGACGACAGGGAGCTTGGCTGGCCGTAGTAAATCCAAAAATAAAGCTGCGGGAAAACGTTCCCGACCAAAACTCAAAAAGAACTCCTTAACTAACTGCAAAGTGAACAACAACAGACTCCAGGCTGCAGAAAGGCACTCTGGACCGCGGGACAGCATGAAATACTCTGGCAGAGAAGTGAGGTGAGGGCCAGGCTCTTAAAGAGCAGGTTAATCAAGTGAGTGGGGACAGGTGTGCCTCATCTGCAGCCAGGAGTAAACCAGCCACGCCCCCCGTCACACACCAGGGTTGCATTCCAATAGTCCATTTAGCTTAGGAACCTTCCTAACGGAGTGAAATGACCCGGAAGTACGTCACTGGCAGCCATGATAAGTGCCGTTCCAATTCTCCAAATGAAAGGAAAGGAGGTTTCAAACTTCCTTTATAACCTCCTTTAGCTTAGGAACCACTGGACCTCCCTAACCGAAAGGAGAGGAGAAAATGCTGCCCCACAATGCATTGCAGCCGCAGCATTTGCCGTCACTCAACAGTCGGCCGTTCACGGACACAAACGATAATGGCAGAAATTATATCATGAAAGTTACGGTGCTTATTACGCATTTTAAAACGTATGTGGTAAGTTGCCAAAGTGCTTTGTTCTGAACGTTCATCAGTATTATAATCAAAAAGAGAAATATGAACGTTAGTTTTTACTGAAATGATCAAATAAAGTCAACATTTCACTGAGCTGTGTGGGGTTGTTCAACTTTTAAAAGATGTTTGAATGGTGATATACACAGTGATAGGTGTTAAGGACTAACGTTTATAATAAATACATTTGTATTTATTTTAAGATCTTTTAATAGTTCATACAATCATACGTATTGGGATCATTTGTATTAATGTGGACCGGAGGGAGAGGGTGACGAGCATAAGTTTCACTTTCCTTTTTTATTTCAATTCCAACTTTGGTCATGAAGAATATGTTTCTCTGTTGTCCACGTTCATAAAGCATAAAGCAACAGCATCAGAGCACGGTGCAGAGTCTCTAGATGAGTTTACAGTAGTCCCTCGTTCTTATTAAACATCCATGTTGTAGTCCGGTGTATAGAAAACTGTAGTTTCCATAGTTTCCCCACAGCAGCAGACGCACATTCATGACGTCCGCTGAAGCATCATAAACACGTCGGATAGTGAAAGTGCATTCGGATTCTCTAAAGTACCGCAGTCTCTTCTCCTAAATCCTTTTGAATTCTCCTATCCACTATCCCTTAACCTCGTGAAGTTTCACTCAGAGGTCAAGGAATAGGAGATAGAGTTAGAATTTAGGAGCTGATTTTTGGATTATCGGAACGCAACCCAGCCCTGCAGAGACGGAAAAACAGAGTAGTGAGGGGTAAAAGGAGCACACAACAAGTAAAACACAACAACAACAAAAACCCCATGCAAAACATAACAGAAATGTTATGTTCTTTAGAGAGTTTGTGCCAAGTGAAGCACTTTATCTGACAGATTAAATCCTAAATATCGTTTCTTCCTTGCACGTTTAAATTCCTCTGCAACTCACTACACTGAACATTCAAAATGGTTTCCCTCTGTCGGGTGGGGTCAAAGGATACAGATGACCGCAGCCTTTAGCTGACGCTTTTATCCAAAGCGACTTACAATAAATGCATTCGACCAAGAAGATACAAACTTGAAGTAAACAGAATCATATAGGCTAAGTACAGCAGGTTTCATAGAGCTAAAACATGTCAAGTGCTACTCAACTGGCTTTAGATAAGCCCGTCCTTTATTAGTATATGTGCTTTGTTAGTAATTGTATTGCTCGAAAGTGGAGTCGAAGGAGATGAGTTTTCAGTCTGCCCCGGAAGATGTGTAAGCTATCTGCTGTCCTGATGTCAATGGGGAGCTCATTCCACCATTTTGGAGCCAGGATAGCAAACCCACGTGTTTTTGCTGATGGGAACTTGGGTCCCCCTCGCAGTGCGGGTGCAGCGAGTCGTTTGGCTGATGCAGAGCGTAGTGCACGTGCTGGGGTGTACGGTTTAACCATGTCCTGGATGTAGGAAGGGCCAGATCCACGTAGAACTAAAAAGAAAGGTGAGACTAATGATGGATACCAGAAAAATATCCCTTTTAAGAAATGTTTAAAATCACAGCAGGATTATTATCATATAGGCGCTTTATTATTATTATTATTATTATTATTATTATTATTATTCAGTTCATTTTATTTTCCTTATTGTGTTGGACATTCTGTTTTTTTCTCCTACTTTTATTGTTGTTATACATTTGTGATAATATTTCAAACCATGTGATTTTCCATTGATTTGGCATTACTGTATATCCCTGTTTTCTTTCATTTTATGGCTACACCATTTTCTATATAAATAAGTAAAGGTCTGTCATGAATGAAAGGGTGCTTTTATAAATAAAAAAATTAAAACTAAATAATATAAATGTGTTCTAGCTCTAACATTACAATTCTCCTTGGATGTAATAATACTCCAAATAAATATAATTACATGCAAATATCAACAAACTATTACCCTAGGTTCTTATTCCAGCCCTGGATTTAATGGTACATTATACTGTATGATAGTTGTGTATGTGAGATTATGAATACACACACGTCTGTAGGTCACAGTCTCTACCTGCGGTTCAACCTCATTAAAAAAATATCGCCGGAAAAATAAATCTGTCTCTCTGCCACCGCTGCAAATGTCAAAGCTGTTGAGATGAATTTGGGAGTCATTTCTCAGGATCATCTCAGTCCCGCTGATGTTTGATCCTGCGGTCATAGTTTAAAATCCTCTGTCCTACTGCTTTATTCTTTATACTGAATTATTTACACAATTATTAACACGTCATATCAGAGAAGATCAGTCAGCCGGGTGGGGGGGGGGGGGGGGGGGGGGGGGTCAGGAAACACAGAGGATGTGTAGTAATGTGATTCATTATCATACGTTACCTTTTTATTACTATATTCATTATCAAACACGGCAAATATAGAGAAAATATGAGGTTAGAGTTAGCTTGAATTACAAATGTATTACTTTTTACTGCATTTATCTGATAGATTTAAATATTTAGATTATTTATTCAGACTATATTGAACTAAGAAATTATGATGTTTTATTATAGACTGTTAATTTCTTGTGTCTTAATTTCTCTTATGTACATTGCCTTGTTTTTTATGTTGCTGCAATGCAAACATTTCCCAAATTGGGATCAATAAAGTCTCTATCTATCTATCTATCTATCTATCAAAGTGCCCAGCAGTAATTACATTTTGCTCTAATTCACCAGCTGCAAGATTTGTAATGAACACAATAATGCCTCAATAATTATGGAATAACGATTACTTTTATTGTAGATTATTTTTGCAATTTGTCTAGAAGAAAATGTTAGAAAAATATCGAAAAATGTCTTGTTTTGTCGGTCCAAAACCCAAAGGTATTCACTTTAATCTGATATTTAGAAAAAGTGTTTTACTTTTTAATGCACTACATGAATTTCAAACTTGAAGTAACTTTTTCCGTAAATAATATGACTACTAATTTACTAAATAGTTGACAAATAGCTAACCTTTGCTCCACATTGACCATATTTAACATAAATGTGTATTATATGTATTTTTTTTATTATTATATTTTGATACTATATAATAAAAAAACGCCACTTTCAAAATAGAGACATTCTACACTATGAATAATTATTTTTTTATAATTTAAGTACATTTTGCGTATAATACTTGTACTTTAATTAACGTTTTGAACTCAGGAGTATTTTTAGACTGAAGAATTACTAGGACTGACTACCTTTCCACCCCTGGTACCCGGACCAGAATCTGCTCACCTGACTTTGCCGTCATAATTAATCTTTTTTTAATGTTTTATTTTCAGGGTCTGAAGCCGATGGATTTCAACGGTCTGTCCGACCCGTACGTCAAACTGCACCTGCTGCCCGGAGCCTGCAAGGTGAGACTCTGATACTCATCAACCTGAACTTAAAGGAATAATTCAACAGAAAATCAAATGATTATATTTCAGTTACCTGACCCTGTGTTTTTTCCATGTTACTCTTGTGTTTGAGTATTGGAAATGAAATAATTTACATCCTTTTTCACTGATAGTGAAGTAAAGTACTGCCAGTTTCAGATAAGATCATTTTAAAATGCCATGAAATGCAATCTTCCTCACCCAGCTGCCTGGTGGAGCATACAGAATAACTGGAGAATTGACTGAAAGGATTTCTCTGCTGCTCTGTTTAATATAATATAAAACTGTTCTATGCTGGTTTTCCCTTTCTTGTATTGTATTATAGTTTTTGTGCATGTAAATGGTCTGCAAAGGCTAACATCCCTGTGTTCCCTCCAGAGGGAGTTCCTCTCCCACACTCTCCCCCCCTGAAACGCCTCCATTGGACTCCTTTGATTACTTCTATAACATAGTGACATCACTGCGTAACACTCGCACTTCTATTGGCTAGCGCTCCAACACATTATACATGATTAGCTAAGGGGCGGGACATCTCACCAATCACAACAGAGCTAACCAATCAGAGCAGACTGGGCTCTGGTTTCAGACAGAGGGTGAAAAGAGCTGCTGCAGTATGAGAAAAATAAAGAGCTTTTTGAACACAGTAGAGTAGAGGCACAACATACTAATATGAACCTGAAAATAGAGCACAATATGTCCTCTTTAACAAGTCCAATTATGGCTTTTACATACAGAGAATACTGTCAACAACCATTAAAAAAAAAAAAGTGTTTTTAGTTATAAATTGCTCTTTACAGTAAATCAGGCACTGAATGATATTTGAATACAGCCCTCTGTAGAAAGCTACATGTCAGTGCTACTGAAGTGGAGATTTCTGGTTCAGAAAACCTTCTTTAAATATATTGTAAAATCCATACTTTTTGCACACACTGCAGTGCAGACACAATGAATTTGTTATTACAAGTTTTCTGGAATGTAACGCTTAAATATGCAAATGACGCATTATGTAAAGGTGGCTTCTATTGTATTTATGAGAAATGTACAGACACAAATAGAGAATTTAACTGAAATAGACACCTTAATGTGGATAATGTATGTTTTATATCCACTTGTCTGAAAGAAGACTTCCATATTATGGAATATTGACCGGAGCATAATAAATCACATTTATGTATGTGTCCTTCAGGCCAATAAGCTGAAGACGAGGACGATCCGTAACTCTCTGAATCCGGTCTGGAATGAAACGCTCACTTACTCCGGGATCACAGAAGAAGACATGCACAGGAAGACGCTCAGGTGTGTGTGTGTGTGTGTGTGTGTGTGTGTGTGTGTTGTGTGTGTGTGTGTGTGTGTGTGTGTGTGTGTGTGTGTGTGTGTGTGTGTGTGTGTGTGTGTGTGTGTGTGTGTGTGTGTGTGTGTGTGTGTGTGTGTGTGTGTGTGTGTGTGTGTGTTTGCACGTGTGTGTGTTCCCAGTTTGATCAGATCTAATTTCAGACTGATTACTCTTACAGCGATTAATCAGGCTCTGGGACATCTTGACATTCAGATATGAAGCTCAGTTGTCCTCTTCCATTAATGTACCTGTCAGAGCAGGAAAAAGAATAAATGGAGCTCAGGAGGAAAGTGATCTTTCCCCCGTTCTCTGCATGTAAACACACACAATAACCACCCTTCAGATTGGGTTTAATTGGAGCGTAATCAGAGGTGGCGTTTGATGAAAATTGCTATTTTTAATGTGGATTTCCAACATGCTGCAGCTCAGTAATGATGAATTCATGTTTGTTCCCATTGAAGGCACAGAGGGGGGGGCCACCATCCATAATCAAAATAAGTGGAATAACAGAGCAGAAAGACTTTAATTACGGAGCTCAGGAGCAGACGTTTAATCTTAACTAAACATGAGGCAGAGGCAGTGTGAACAAACCTAATGGAAAAATATTATATATATATGAATCAATTGACAGAAATATTAGAAACACTTGGCTTCCGTACATATACACAGTTTGCACGTACACATACACAAACACACTTACCGACAACGGCGACCCTCGTGTCCAACATTTGCACATCGATGAACACTTTAAAACAAGAACTAATTTCCATCCTCACATGTCCCCTCACATACAACATATAAGAACATGACATTTATATACAAAAATAAATACATGACATGCAGAAAGAGCATGAGCAGCATACAAGCATTTACCACATGGCAGTACAATGTAGCAGTTACGACATATAAAGTGCAGGAGGAGATACCCCTGTGTTAAAGTGCATTTAGTGCTGATTGCACGTCTGTTTGTTTCTCAACCATTCTTTGAGTTGACCTTTGAAGCTATTGAGAGCGGGACAATGCTGTATCTCAGTTGGGAGGCTATTCCACAACGAGCTGCCTTTAATGGAAAGTACATTGTGTCCAAAAGTGGTCCGTCTGTGGTGGACTTCACAGTCTCCTCTGGTGTCTGACCTAGTGCAGCGTCCAGTGTGTTTTCTGTGGATGAATTCCCCTGAAGGGGGGGGGGGCAGTCCATGTAAACATTTATAAATAAAGACTTAAAATGGTCAAAAGAAGAAATTGTGTTTTTCAGGGATGGTATAGTGGTGGTATGAATTTGTCTTTCTGTCAAACACCTTGATAGCTCTCTTGTACAGCTGTTCTATCGGTTTCAGGTTTATGGCACAAGCAAACGACCAGTTTGTAGAACAGTATTCAATGTGGGATAGAATCATACAGTGGAGGTATGACTTTGCAGCATTGACAGTTAAGAAGGGTCTAATTTGTTTAAAATGTTGCAAATTGAATTTAACGGTATTGGATACTTTCTTAATATGTTTCTTAAAAGTCAAGTTTGAGTCCAGTATGACTCCAAGATACTTGAACTGGGAGACTACTTCTATTTCTGCTCCGTTTAAAAACACGTTGGATCCTTCGATTTTGACTGGTCGTTTACTGAACATCATGCATACTGTTTTTTTTGCATTTAACTGTAAGCAAATGTTGTTCAGCCAGTGTTGAACCTTGTCCAAAGCATTTGAAAGACAGGGTGTGATTATTTCAGTATTTTTCCCGTGTACAAAGATGACCGCATCATCGGCATACATTTGCACATTCAACTCAGGACATACATTAGGCAAGTCATTCATGTACAGTGAAAAAAGTAACGGTCCAAGAATGGAACCTTGTGGAACCCCAACAGGGTTGACAAGGTAGGGGGATTGGTTTTATTAGACCGTCGATATGTGTGTTTATCAGAGGTGTGGACTCGAGTCACATGACTTGGACTCGAGTCAGACTCGAGTCACCAATTTTATGACTTGAGACTCGACTTGACAAAATCACAAAACACTTGCGACTCGACTTGGACTTGAACACCAATGACTCAGGACTTGACTTGGACTTGAGCCTTCTGACTTGAGGTGACTTGATACTTTAATTCAGGGGTCTCCAACACGCCGATCGCGAGCTGCCGCTAGAAGAGAAGACTCCCGTCGGGGAGAGCAGAATCTTCAGCCGCTCCTACTCTTGCTGAGAATTAGTGATGTGTCGGTCGCGAACGAGCCGGCTTTTAAGTGAACGACAGGAGCTGGCTCGCGCCCGCGAACGAGCCGTTTTTTGTTTTTTTTGCGGAGGGATCTAGATCGGCATGAAGGCACATTATGCAATGTGCACATTATCCCGCTTATTACATGGCCACATTCTCAACAAAGTAACGACATGACTCCCAATATTAATTGAAATGCTTTTATGGATTTAGAAAATGATTTTATTGATAGTTGTATGTATTTATTTAAATTGACATGCATCCGCTAAGAAAAATAGTCCGTTGTTACTGTTTGAACTAACGTAGCAACGGCAGGAACTGCTTCGATAGTGTTTTTGAGGAGCTTTTTGATTACAGATTTGAAAACATCGTTGCTTGCTTTAAAAGTAGCACAATTCATTATGTCAAACCTTGGAAAGTATCTAGATATCCCTGCCCTAATGCCAAAGTAACTGGCAACTGAATATGTGTCGCCGTTTGATGTCTATCTCTGGACCGCTGCGTAAAAAGGAGGGTTTCTGCCCTGTTACTTCTCTTCTTAATTCTATAAGAATAAAACACGGAGGACGGAGATGATCTCAGAGCAAGCTCCCCTCTCATGCAGGGGGAAGTGGTTTCTATAGCTAATAGTTACTGAAATAGAGCCCTGCTGTTTTGTCAGGGCCTTTTCTTTAAATATAATTTTAAAATGTCGATACAGTAGCCCCTTTTTTAAAATAGCCTAGTTTTTATAGGTGTTGCTATCTGTTTTGTGTAGCGTGGTTCTACAAGCAAGTCAGTGCATTCATTGGGTGGTATCAGAGAGTTACACGGGTCTGTAAATGCAATGAAAACATTTGGCCACAGCAAATCATTTAAATTAAACATGTAATTTTCACTTTTGAATACTTCAGTACAAAGGATGTATTGAATAATTTAAGTGATATATGTGTACACATATACATCATTAATTAGTCAAAACAGGGCTACATTTGATTGAATTAAAAGGTATATTATGTGGTAAACTGAAGAGCCGTTTGGGAGCCGAAAGAGCCGGCTCTTCTTGGTGAGCCGAGCCAAATGATCCGGCTCACCAAGAAGAGCCGGAATTCCCATCACTACTGAGAATCCTTGCAGGCAGGGGCGGGTCTTTATTTAGCTGGGCCACCATGCGGCCAATCATATGCGAGGACACACTAGGATCATACCATTATGTGAAAGAAGGGTGGGGGGCACAGCAGGTGTAGTGGTACAGGCCAGCTGCACAGAGCGACGGGGAGACGGATTTAAATGCAAGCGTGTCGGAAAAAGTCAAGAAATTAGCGAAATCCGAAAAAAGAAGCAGCATCTGGCTGCTTTTCAATGATATTGGAGAAAGCAAAGCTGAGTGCAGGATTTGTAAAATGAAAATAACCTTTTTTGGTTACCTTTATTTTGGTAACCACTCAGGATTTACTGTCAGAGGTGTGAGAAGTTCAGATCTTGTACTTGAGTACAAAAGTACCAGAGTGTAGGAATACTCTGTTACAATAAAAAGTGCTGCATTCAAAATGTTACAAGTAAAAGTACAAAAGTATTAGCATCAAAATATAGTTAAAGTACCACCTGCAGAGGGACCTAGATTTGGGTGTTATTTTCCCCATAGAGACCGCCTGGCTGCACATTATCCCTTGCATAAAGATAGATTGTGGGTCCCTTATAACATGTTGTACACAGTGGAAATAAACATTCTGGTTACCTCAACATCAGGGATCTTATACATTAAACTCCTTCTGAATCAAACCGTCATGGTAGCCTGGTCTTACTGATCTCTCTTCAAATAGAAGAAAAACACATTACTTTACCAGCAGAGAGAAAATGGATTATTAAATTATTAATGTGACTAATAAAGGGCAGTTTGATTATTAAGTATTATTCTGTTGATCGATGTCATTACATTTGGTGAAAAGCACATAATGACTTGTTTAAGACTCGTTTTGTCAAAGTTTAGGACTTGGACTTGACTTGAACTTGCCCATCCTGACTTGAGACTCGACTTGGACTTGAGCGCAAAGACTTGAGACTTGACTCGGACTTGAACGAAAAGACTTGAGACTTGACTCGGACTTGCAAAACAATGACTTGGTCCCACCTCTGGTGTTTATAAAGTTGGTGTCTAAATCATCTGCATCCCTAGCCTTAGAACCTTTTAACCCTAAGATTATATTTTTTACCTCCACCTCTGTGATTTCCTCCAGGTCAAAAACTGGATGCGTATTGTTGGGGCAGACACAGTAGTGGTGGCTTAAAGCCCACTTCTGCTCCGCGCCGTCCGTTTAGATGAGCCTGGTCAGATTGATAAAAGAGGGAGTTCAAAACACCGGCATAAAAGTTATAACAATAATCTGATTGTAATGGTAAAAAACACCAATACAAGTTTACAGAGTACTCTGGACTCCCAGTTCTACTGCTGTGCGATACAGGTATCGGGACCAGCCAGTCAGAAACAGGGGGCATTTTGCATGACTACACAACAGTATATATGGATATATTTTGGGGTGGAGAGCCACTTCTTATCTTCCACCGGACCCAACTCCTTTAATTTCCCAGGGAAGGTTTCACACAAACTATTCTTTCCTACACAATCAAACATTGTACACAGATATATTGGTATCAAACATTGTACACAGATATATTGGTGCTTGGGATTATTGGCCCCAGAAAGAACCTTGAAAAAGAACATGTGTGTGTGTTAGTGAGGGGAAGTGTATGTGTGTGTGTGTGTGTGTGCGTGTT